ACCATAAAGATAATATTGCATAGAACAGGCATAGCTACGTACTTGTGTTGGTCATTGTCAGCTTTTGCTGTTTGTGTAGATTTTGGCTTACATAACTAGTAATAGGTGATGAAGCTGTTCTGAAGATTAATCTTTTGAGGTTGCTGCTTTGATTTTCTTCCTTTACCCCCACCCCCAAATGTCAAGCCCATTACATTTTTGGGCCATCATTGCATGTTCGCTTCCTGCTGCCTGCACATTGCTGCTTCCTGGTACCAGTGAAAGTACGCTCCCCAGCCATCATTCTTGAATGTGCTGTATTTTTGCCTTTGGAAGTGGGATCATTGCTGTAGTACTTGTGGCATTCTTTAAATGTCCTTACAGTTTGGGGGAATGGAAATGCCATGAGTTTAATTATTTGCAGATGGAAAGGTTTTAGGACAAACACTTTGTGAATATGATTAAAAACAGGGTAACAACAGGTAACAAGCACAATGAAAACTTTTCCCTTTGGCAAAATTTGTTTTGAATCTCAGCCTGGAACTAAAAAGAGGAAAGATCCATGAAAGGGCAAGCTCCCAAGCATAACTTCCTTAATGACCTTGAAGCTATCTCTCTGCATAAACCATTACTAAATTACTCCTTTCTGTTCTTGAGCTCCTTTTAGTGGCTTAACAGAAAGAGGCTCAAAATCAAAATTGCTCTTTTCTTCTGTGATGTCAAAAGGTTGGCTGCTCTTGAATGTGGATCAGATGCTGCAACACACCAAGCTGCTTCTCTATGGTATAGAGTTCCCTGGCTACTTTATGAATCCACTGAGCACTGGGGATATAGCTCAGCAAATTGCATTGCAGTATTAATGCATTATTAATTATGCCTGTGATATTAATACAAGAAGATCATGGAATGCACTAAAAATATCTTAAACTATTCAGACTATTTATGATGACTCTAATCAGCACAGTGGGCTGAGTCCCATCTAAGAAAATGCAGTAGCAACTCCAGTCTTTGTGATCTATACGGAAATATTGAAATATTGCCTTACACATCCCTTTTGCACAAGCAAAGATAAATTTTTATTTGGATTATTATCTCCCTGTGCTTTTAGAAAAAGGTAATTTTTTTTAATCTCTGCTCAATTAATGTACCCGCTAATAAACCATAACCTACTGAAGGAGTAAATTCTGTTCTCGTAGATGCTGTTGTGGATCTACAACTGCATTGACACTCAGTAGAGGAGAATGAAAGAAAAATTTGCCTGTTTTTCCCTTTAAAATTTCTTTAATTGATGCTTTTATGATCATCTTGCTCTGCTGTAAAGTAGAGGTTACTAGGACCTCATTTCTTTTCCAAGAGAATTGACACAGTATAATGGTCTTACAGGTTTTGAATGCTCTGGATGAATTGGGTGATTTTCTACAGCTGAAATATTCCCGGTATTCCAAGTCATCTCATCCTGAACTGTATGAAGAAACTAGGCTTGAACTTGAAGATTAAGTTTTCTACCCATGAAGAGAACATTATGATGCTATGAAAGGCGGGAAAACCCGAAAACTAAAAAATAAGAATGCATTTCTTCCCTTCAAAGGACAATATTTGTTTCTCAGTTATTTGAAAGGAGGGGAAGCTCGGGCGTTGCATTTTATTGTATCAAATTTCTGTATTCAAGAGACTGAAATATTGATACAGATTTGCCTCCCCAGGAGATCTGTCCTTCTTACGGTATTTTTTATGCAGAATGAATGCATCCATTGATCGAGTTGCTAACGTACAGCTTTTGTTATGGCCCCTTTTTATGAAGAGGCTTCAGATAGTCTTAATTGTGACAGAAATAATAAAGTTTAAAAACTGAATGTATTCCAGTGTAGTACGGTAATATAGCTGAGCTTCATCACTGAAATTGACTTTTGTCAGTTAAAGAGCATAAATCAAGGCATTGGTGTGGACTGCTACAGAGGATTGAGCAGAAAGTAACCTCATCAACTAAGTTGCCTTCTCATGCATTTCTCCAAGGACAGAAAATGTTAGAAAACGGCTAATGCTGAGAACAAGAAAAGTAGCTTGATCAGATCACATATTTCTGACAGCAGATTATGGGAAAGGGAAAATGCCTCCTCCCCTCCACAGACCCTTTCTCAGCCACTTAAGTACACTATGAGCTTCGTAATGTACAAAAATTTGGGCTTAGACATAAACAGAAATGCTTTTCTGCTAACACATTTGACCTACAGCCTTTCACATCTTATCACAACGTAAGTTCTTCAGCAGGCTTGCTCCCTTTCGTGTAGCAGTAGTAAATAATTTTAATAACCATTTAACTTTCCCGTAAAAACCTTGATCAAAACAGTCAGATACTTGCAGTTCACAAACTGCAGATGACATTTATGGGCCCACTCCTAAGTTTCTTGAACTACTTATGGGCTTAATAAATTCACTAACAAGTACATAATGCTGAAGCTGTTAGTTATACAGAATGCGAAGTTCAAGATACCATGAGCAGTTCTGCCACCTGTTAAATTGAAAACTCCGCCATTTCTAAATGTGCCAAAGTTGTCCACTTAATAACATTTCTTGAAATATTCTCGTCTGGTTTATGCACGTCAGGGGTTGTTTTACTTGTCTAGTTGCAGACTTTTTTGAGTGGTTTGTTTTGCAAATAATTGATTATGTCATCTGAGGGGGAAGCTGTCCTTGTCCCCTTTTCTACTGCCCAAGTGACAAATGTTCAAACATACTTGAAGGAATTGTTACAGCTGGAAGTTTCCCTGCAGTGCCTGCAGCAGCATTGTCGTCAGGCTTATGTGGGCTGAATTCTTTGAAGGAGATTGGAGGCTTTTTCCCTTTTTTGCAGCATCAAAAAGCAGTTCTGCACCTTTAAGAATGAACTCCGAACCATTCCACGCTATCAAATGTCATTGTAAACACATCAGATGAGAGATGTTTAGCTTTCTGTTGCACAGATGTACCACACTTTCATGTTCTCTTGAAAGCTGTGGTGTAAACTTAACCCACAGCTGCAATATTAGATTTAAGAACAGAACAATTAAATTGCGGAGTACCAATTACACTATATTACTCCCTGCTTGTTAAAGCAGCTTTCAGGATATAACAAGGCTGATTGGTTATGAGGGCCCATTTTTTGTTGGATTTTTCTTGTTGTTGTTGTGCAAGTTAATAAAAATCCAGTGGTGCTATAACTTTAAGAATTGATTACAACACATTCCATAATATCAAATGTCGGCTTTAGGAAACATATATCAAGGGCTGGGGGAGGACTAAATGGTGTCATATGATTCTTCACTTTGGTAGACAGACTTGAAAAACATTGCAGAGGGTTCAGGGGAGCTGCGTTTGTGGATAAGAGCAAATTCGCTATATAAATATTAAAATACCCAGGCACAGGATGGAGAAATTAGGAAACGTGAACTTTGTCTTGAGTAACCTGGCAATTTGTGATGTACAGCTTTGTTACATGTAGGGTGAGTGCACTTACTGCAAAGAGATGGGTTGAGAAATTTCTGCAACCTGTTCCTCGAGGAAAAGTACTGAATTTGATATATTGTGTTTTGATCTCTATTGCTGAACATCTGTGGCCAGATCCTCAGTTGACTTCTGACCTTCCATCTTGGGGTATACGGCCGTAGTTTATATTTCAGCAAACAGTATTACACGTGCTGTTGGAGACAACATGTTATTTCCCTCAAAGAGAGGCCTGAGATTGATTAAGCTACAGAATGATCACTTTTTGTCCCCCTATAGGGGAGTGTTTTCTGTCTAAAGCCAAATTCCTCCTGCCCTCAGCACATTACTCTCTCTCATACTGAAGAGACAGGACAGCTATTTTTCAGAGACTGTCAGTTGATTTATTATATGGTCTCTTCTGATTTCTTCCATCCCTTACACATTAGAGAAAGTGCTGGCTGACTACCCCTGGGCTTGGGGAACAGTTAGGGAGAAATCCCTGCTCCACTGGTGCAATAATAAAACTCCCAGGAACTTCGGACTTTTAGATTTTCCCCATGAGGCTTAGTTATGGTCTGGCACTGGCTTTTCCATCAGCATAATTTCAGTGGAGTTTTTCCAGATTTACATCAATTTTAATAGGTTTAGAGTCGATCAGCACCTTGGAGACTCTGTTTTAGTTAGTTTAAGAAAAAAACTGATGGAGTACTTATTAGGGAATTAGCACAGTTAGCATAAGGATTACATACTTCCTAGAATATACTCCATCTTCAAGCATGCATGTTCTCGGGAGATACAGTTCTCTGTAATTGTTTTAGAAGGCTTTGAGGAAGAACTGCCTTCAATAAATAAAAATTGCTCAAGTTGTCATATGTGAATCCAGTGGAAATGTGTGAATATGCTTTTTGTTGGCAAGCTGCAAGTCCAGCATCTTGTTATCTTACATAAAATCTTGACTGACCTTCATGCTATGGGAAGACTCCAGAGCTGTCTGTCTGACAGAGCATCTGAGTTGTTTGCCCTTTCCTGTACCTTTATCCCACCTCATCTTCCAGAAAGCCTTCTTTTCCTGAGCTCATCTAACTTGTCAAGGTGGGTCTCCCATCCACTTCTCCTGCCTCTTTCTATTGTTCTCTCTGTTCTGCTGGTTTCTGGCCTGTGGGTCTAGGGGAAAGCACACTGGCAGCTGCAGAGGACTAGGAGTGTAACAGTTGGCTTTTTAGGCATTGCCTCGCTCTGTCAGCTTTTCCTGGTATCCTCATCAGCTCCTGCAGACTTTAATCCTTCCTTTTCAAAAAAAAGTTTCCTACTGATGGTGCTAAGTTTTGAAGCTGAACCAAATCTGAACTGCCTGAGCTGTTCATGGGCTTGATCTATCACTCATGCAAGTGTAAATCAGGTTAAATCTTGCTTTGAAGTCAATACTATTGGTTTAAAACTAGTGCAACCATGAGAGCAACCTGTCGGTGTGAGGTGAGCTTCCTGTATTTATTTCAGAGGGGTCTGAATGCTGATATCTCTGGACTATGTCACAGCCACTGCTCTTCACAAGGGACCAAGATATGGGAGTGTATTTATTTAAGGTAGGATTTAAATTTTCTTTTTTTCCCTTTTTTTTTTCCCTCCCCCAAAATGTGTTTGGTTGAAAGTGCATCACATATTTCCCTGTCCTGTTGAGACAGGGAACAAAATAATGATGTAAGAAAAACAATCTACACTCAAGGTGTTTATGTACTTTCCAGCCTGCTTAGAAATCCAATAAAGATTCTCTAATATATGATCTGCTTTTTATTTGTGCATAAAGTTTAATTGTTCTTCAAATTAAAACACAGATCAGGACCAAACTTTAAAGAAACCGCACCATCAGCTCAGAAATGGCAGATGTCATTCCAATATTGGCAGCTGAACATTCAAGCCTCCACATGCCTTCAAGAAAAGTATCTAGGTGTTGCCTTCATTTACTCTCACATCCAGTGTTGGTGCTCATTGCAGACCAGTCACAAGACAGTGAGAATCTCACCTTACCCATTAGTGACACAGAGCTTCAGACCTGTCAGGATGGTCCCAAAACCACCACCCAAGTAACCACACAAAATAATAATTCAGCACCATCCAAAAAGGAGTCTGGGGCCTGAATCAGACTGGTTGCTCCACAGTTACCTAAGAGGTGAGTGTTTCTTTCCATAAGTGTCACTGACAAGTGACAGAAGGGAGCAGTGATAAATCCATTTATATCATATGCTAATCAAATGAAAAGGGTAATGTAGAGGCACAGGATCTGGAGAGACATGGTGGACCTGGAGACTTAGTCTAGATCCAGTTGTGTGCAAAGAATTTTTTTGTGGAAATGTTACAGGAGTTGTTAAATCTTTTTAGCCAGATAGGTGGAAAACTTGGTCTTTAATATCAAAATAGTGACTGTGAAGCAGGCAGAGGGAGATACTGCGCCCCGTGTGTTACTCCAGTTTGTTTATGAAGAGAAAGCAGGTTAGTAGATAGGGTGCCATAGCAGATGCCCCTTCATACTTGGGCACTCTGTTACATTTCCTAGATCCTTTTTGGAGAGTCACTTCTTCTGCCAGATGCTGTGCTAAGGCCAACAAGCATTAATTGTTATCAAAACACCTGAGTTCATCAGCCAGTGCTGCAGGGGTAACCAGTTTTGCAGTAATGCTTGAGCCACCATCTCTGGAGAACAGTGCTGATCCTGAAAATTGTTCAGAGGTCATTCTAGTGAGAACCGTGCACAGCACCACTGATGATTTTGGTGCCTTCATTGGGCATCATTGTTGGGATGCCACTGCTGAGAGTGGCTGCAGTATGGTGACAGCTGCCTGTGCTGCTCTGCCAGGTGTAACTGATGCGGCTCCAGGACAGGCATGACAGTCTATCCTCTTCTTTGCAGATACAGAATGACATGGCCTGCAGGTCACTCCAGCAGATGAGTTTCTTTCTGGCAAGTCAGCTCAACCAGGAGATGTAACCATGAAAGCAGGACACTGTAGGAAGTCTAGAATTTCGATTCTCACAAGTAA